TGATAACGTAGTTGATCTCTGAAGAAAGTCATGTTCCCATTCCTGTAGAGTGGTATATGATGTGTACCTGTAGCTGTTTGTATCGCCAAAGTTTGAGAACATTAAATGTGCTGAAGAGAACAGACAACCAAACATTGGCAGAGCTCAGGAATTTGAGTAAAGTTACGAAGTCAAGTATGAAACACTATTGGCCTGTACTACAGATACTTGTTAGTGGAACGTCGTCAGCGCATTCCTTATTGGTTAATTTTTATTATGATAAACACTTTCTGTGTTCTCATCTACAGTTATTTCAATTTATATCATATTTCAAAAGTGTTAATGTCATTTTAATTTTCAGGGTCCATTAGTGGTTTTCGATTATTCTTCTAATGTAATAGTGACATACAACTTTTATCGGTGTTCTGGAAATCCTTACAAAAAATTGTAAGCCATTATTGTTCATTGTGTGCGTGAAATTTTAATAGGCATTATTTTCTGTTTTGTAATTTATCATACCAAAATTGTTGTAATTACTAATACTGAGAACTGGTGTTGTGATTTTATAAATGTACAGTTTTTATTGAATGTAACAAATGATATTAATAACGTTGAGTGTGTGGATGTATATGATTGTGTGTGACCGACTTCATTTTTATACATTTGGAACTGAAATATTATGAGTATTGAAGTTGGTGCAGAAAAATTCATCAATAATTTATTTGAAAAATATATGTCAAATATTTGAAAGCTGGAAAATGTTTTTGAACCAATTTTTTTTATAAAGATGAGATCTGTAGAGCAACTGAAGAAATAACCAATCACATATTTTGTAACAGTTTTGTTTGTTATAATTTTAGTAATTGTTCTTTAGGATCAGAACGAGTTCTGTTCAGGGTTGCTAATTTGAGTCCCGAAATTTTGGTCTGGATAGAGACATTTACGAAGGCATTGAAGAAGTGACTTGAAACCACAACAGACTTTATACTTGAAAGGATAATGATAAATATGGTGACAGTTGCATGGAAAAAGAAGGATTGATTCAGATATGAAAACACCTGATCCAGTTGTCAGGGCAATGAGTCCATCCAGAAGCCATAATTATAGGTTAGAATGCTTCTTTTATGTAATAATGCTGAACTTCGTAACTGGTTAAGTTACATTCTACAGTTAATTATTAGGAATTTCTATTTTGTCATCCTGTTATATTCATGATCTCTCTAGTGTTGCTTCAAATTCAAGTTCTTAAATTATCTTCCAAATTAACTAGGAAACTATGAATACATTATATAACAGAATAAATTAAGGCTGGTAATATTGCTTTATTATGATTATTATACATTTTGATTTTTGAAAGGCTTCATAAAATTATTATATGTGAAGGACTATACACAATTGTGTAAAGCTGTGCAGAATTATAAATAAAATTCATTTCATGAAAAAGTCTGTTGCACAAAATAGACATTATTTATTACAACAATAAACAGACTTGATTCTGAACTCCTATATTTCACATTTTACCATTCCCATTTTATAATTATATAAAAAAGATGTAATTCTTTTGAGTTACTCTGTGGTATAATTTTGTTAACTTAAACTTACCTTATCTCCTATGAATCTCAGGCTTAAGCCAGATAATTTTCCAGCTTTTATACATTTCCTGCACTAAAGAAGTATTTTGTTAACGTAAGTTTTATATAAAGTTTTAAGGAAACAGAAGTCAAAACAGATAACTTGTGTGTATTTAAATATTTACAGAATATAATATATGATTTTATATATTGATGTGTCTGAGGTTAAAAGAACAAAAGAAAAATGTAAACATTTGTATTTATACGTTAATGAAATTTGTTGGAGTAAAAGAAATGTTTTTTTGGTAGTAAATTTGTCTTTGACTTCATTAATTCTTATACAATGCAAAATAATTTTTGAGAAGAAATTTTCTTCAAAATAAACTTACAAGAAAGTCATACCACATAATCACTTCCTGGCAGAAAGGAATTTTAAATTTTCATTCTCATCATGGGCTTGGCAAAAAAAAGAAGACTATTTCAATATAATCTAGGTTTCTAAGGCTCTGGCTTGGCTGTAACTGTATGTTGTAACATTACACAGGAAATGGAAAGAAGTCACCTATATACAGAAATATAAAAAAAAAATGGTACGGTTACTGAGCAACAGTTTCTGAAGAGTACAATTGAATGTTGTTTCAGATAGCTTCTGATGACCAACGCTAATACAATTTTCAACAATAAAATTTCTTTAAATTTATTTTCTGGAAATTTCCATCATTTTTGTCCCCAAATACCTAAAATTGTTAGGGTTGGAGGGAGGCATGGAAAGATGGAGAAAATAGGGAAGGGTAAAATTAGAATTTTTATGGACACAAATGAAAAGAGTCCACTTTAATCAGGTGATTAAGACAAACTTCTACATAGAATAAATTCTGTTATAAGAGTCGAAATAGTGGATAAGGGGGCCAAGTACAGTGATCGAACAATTCACAATGTTGCCGACTGCGGTATCGAGGGCAGACATACTAAACATCTTAGTTCCTTCATTGATGGTGTCTAGAATTGTCATACGTACAATCTCGGAGATTTAAGACATCCGTGGTCCACACATTATCTGTGGATGTTGAAAATGTGTCATGTTGGTAGGTGATTCGGGTGCGTGTAATTTTGTGTATTGTTTTGCGGTAATTTTGCTTGTTTGTGTCTGTCCGTGGCATTGATTTAAATTTGTGGTTTACGTTTATTAACAGTAAAATAATGGCGTAATCATTCATTTCATATGGTATAAAAAGTAAAAAAATACAGTATGTAACGTAATTTGTTCACGTTTAATGAGAACTAACCTCAAAGTTTGCCATGTTGAAAGGTAACTATGTTAAAGGGGCGTTTTAAAAGTTCGGGCTGTTATCTTTTTTATTATTATTTACAATTTGACCTCTGTTGAGAAATTTAATGTATTTGTTTTCAGTTGTTCCCAAAGGATTTTGCCTTGTTTTAGGGTGTCCCACAACTGATGTGTAAAATGCTTTTATTCTGGTTTCAGATTCATTTATAATTTCCGACGCCTGTATTGCATGCAACAAGTATGGCAGAAGGGGGTGGGGAAATTCTTGAGGGCTTCCTCTGTCCAATTTGTAAAGTTGATCTTGGTACTGCTGTCCAACTTCATGCACATTTCCAAGAACACACAGAAGACCAGGATGTACTTAAATCACTTAAAGGTACAATGTTTACAACTTAACAGTAGCTTTAACACAGTTACAGCTGTTACTTTTAGATGATTCTGAGTCATGGAGAGGAATCTGTGAGACTGATATTATCACATAAAAGAAATATTATTATGATTAGTAAATCAAGAAAGATCAGATGAATGGAGCAGATGGTGTACATGGGGAAGATGAGGATTGTTTACTAAAATTTATTTGGAAGCCCTGAAGAAAGGAAATCACTTGGAAGATGTAGGCACAAGTGGAAGGTAATATTAAAATGAACCTTTAGGAAATAAGGTTGGAGAATGTGGATTGGATTCAGTTGGTTTAGGGTAGGGACCTGAGGCAGGGCTTGTGAATATGGTAATGAGAATTTTGGTTGCATAAAAGGTGAAGAATTTGTTACCATCTGTGGATTACATTCTTCATTATCTTATTCTGTTAAATTTTCTTTGTAGATCTGTTGGGTAAAGCAAAGAAAAAGATTTTGAAGTTAGATGAAGAAATTTTCTCTACTGAATGTGAGGAACAGGCCAGAGCTTCGTCTGCTAGTCACCTTATGTCATCTTACAATCCTGTGAATTTTGAACCTCAAGAAATTGGTAAGAATGATAGTAGCAGAGTATTGTCTGTCAGATGGGAGATGAAATAACGAAAATAAACCAAAATGTAGTAGCAGAGTATTGCCTGTCAGATGGCAGATGAAATAACGAAAATAAACCAAAATGAAGACAAGGACAAAGAGTGCCAGTATTTTATAGCTAGTCGTACTGGCAAAATCCCGCTTCCATCAAGTTTATAATTCTTAATTTTTCGTGTTTGAATATGCAGTTAGAGCAGTTCTGATAAACGTGAAGAGTATTTCATTCATCAGAATGTTAATTCTTCCCAGTTTGCAACAGAACAAAGTTAAATAAGTCACAAATCTGTTACTGGTCCAGTTTAAAGCCACTCTAAGTGAACTGTTTCGCATAAGAAGATTCAAATGTGTTTTGCCTTGTATCAGGATAGGGTCCAGTATTGGGCTGTTATGAATATAGTAATGAATATTTTGGTTCTTGTGAGGTTTGACATTTTCACTGGCTTGAAAACCTCAGGGCTTCAGCCATGAAGATGGAGGCAGTATTTTTCTCCGGAATATTGGCATCTACCGGTGAGTGTACGTGTCAAAATGTGGAACAAAATTATCATCCTCATTGCCATGTAAACCTCAAATCTCACATAGTGGAACTCTGTGGACAGGAAATGCTTCAGCCCTGAAAATAGAGACAGTATGGCCCCAAAACATAGAAGAAGAGCATCATTAGGATATTTCTTGACTGGGTCGTTTACTAGTAGCTTCTCAAGAGGGTCTCTTATCCATGTCTTTGGTTACTGTATTTATAGCAAAAAGAAAGCAATCATAATAGATTTCCTGTTTGTAGGAGCAACTCGAAATTATACTTCATCATTCCGAGCTCTTAGGAACAGTCGTATGGAGCGCTATGCTGCAGAGACCAACAAACTTTTGATAAGACTTGATAAGCTACTTGTGGATTTACCAACAGATCCTGTTAAAAGAAAAGGTATGTAACAAGCTTTCATTTGTTTTATGCAAATTTATTTAAGTGGCTTGCATGAAAATAAAGAGAACCTTGTCCATTATCCTCATAGCAAAGAAGTTTCTAACATTTTGTTTCTGCTTTTGGCAGCCTACGAGCAAGCAGTTGTGCCCTGGATTGATGACAGAGATGTTAAACTGTGTCCAACATGTGCCAAACACTTTCACGTTGCTCGTCGGAAACATCACTGTCGGCTTTGTGGCGCAATCATGTGCCATGACTGTACGCAGTTCCTTCCGCTATCACTCGCCAGTATGTTTTTGTTTTTTCCATTGATATGTTAAAATACAAAATTATTTTAAGGAATTTACTTCTTAACAATTTGCAGCTTGTTTTGACCTATTAAGTAAGACATTCAGATACTCAAATTTGTCTCTAAATATAGGGCCCACTTTATTTTATTATTAAATGTGTTTTTAAACAATTGTGGACGTTTATCATAAAAGTCTTGGTTCAATTTGAATTTTTATGTCGGTAACTGTATTTACAGTTTTTTATTTGCATGGGTTGTTATTTCATTTACTGTGGAGATGTGATTAAGACATGGAAAGTTACATTCTCAATGTCGTTACAAATTGGCTCAGTAAAGTGACTTACCACAAACTGAATGTCAGGTAATTTTTCTCTTTGCCACTGTGCTCCGAATCTGTCTGAGTCTTGTGTCCGTAAGATACTGTAGACTTTCTACCCTGGAGATTTTCTGAGTTTTGAGAATGCATGGTGCTTCTTGTATACTTGACGGCATAGGAATAATTTTATCTTTAAACATTTGAAGCTGAAGCTCGTCTGAATAATATGTAAGAATTCAGTCCGTACCATAAAAAAACACTTCGACATTACAAAAATCAAGTGGTTGATGCTATTTAAGGAAATAATCACTGTTCACAGTCAGAATCGTAAGAAACTCAAAAATAAAAAATTGAAGAATTACTGATTGTC